TCATAGCTAGCGAAAGCTAGAATGGCTACCATAATTAACTAATGGAGGAAATCTTGGAGCGCACATATTGTTGCGCTTGTCCGTAAGGACATTGGTGACGGAGTACGACCATCTGCACCTTGACCTTCCTCCTAACAGAACTCGTAACTGTTAATTCGAAGTGATATTACGATTGTTCATCGTTGATCATTACATTGCACTTCAACCGAAAGCAAGAAGATCATGAAACATATAATAAGCATAACAATGTAATTACACTCTTCCAAATTTCTTGATATGATCGGCAATGAGCGGCATTATGGACCTCTTCCTCTACGTAAAGCTTAAGTCATTCAGGGAACCACTTTGTATTTCGTTTCGTATCTCACAGCCTACAATTCTATCTCGATTTCATGGGAGCCAAACTATTTGTCCGCGGCTGAGCTGATGCCCACAGAAGTTCGCGGTAAAACTACTGCAATATTTAACATAATTTCTCGAGTGGGGAACATACTTGCGGCTCAAGCGGTATGCGAAAGTTGGTTTGACTACAAATCATTTCCTTGAAATTAATGTTTCAGATAGGAAGGTTCAAAGGCACATGGGAGCCCGGCGTGTTTATTATTGCACTCATTTCGTGCTCATTTAGCTTCGTGATTACCTTTCTTTTCCTAAGAGTGAGTTTGCGATTTACCTGATAAGATTCATGTGTATAATAAATAAAGCCTGAATAAGCAACTGTTTTACAACAATGACACGTCTTCCGTGCTCGAGAAGAGCCCCACGAAAAGGCCGGAGGTTGAAGAATGGCAGCATGCCTAGAGGGAAACAGGCTTTATCGCTCCCGTGCCGATTTAAAAGTTTTATGACATCCATTCTTTAGGAGGTATCATTACGACCCCTTTGTATCGGCGATTAATTTTGAGCATTTTTATGCCCAACAATGTATGGGCGGCCATCGCATGGAAACAAAAACGTAAAGAGATGGTAGGCGTTCCCTCGCGCTTTTGACGTGCAGCGCGCTCTATATCGCTCAGAAGACGAGAATCGAGGTGTCGTAAAATTTTGCCATCAGACCGAGATAACTTCTAAGATTTTGCATAAGCCAGGTATGCGTGTGATCAAGGAAACCCCACTTTCAGTAGACCAACAAGTTTTATTTTCGAACTCCCTACTCGCTAGATCTGAACTAAACCTTGAAGTGTCCACAAACTTTTCCACATGAATTATTATGATTTCTTCAACTGCGTTGTTGTGCGACGGGAAAGGAGAATTTATTCAACTTTTTTCCCTCTGAAATGTATTCAAAGGGTTGCGAATGGCGAGGCTAAATAAATAGAAAGTGCGAGATTAAGTCATTCGGAGATACACCGGAAAATTCGCTAAAAGTAGCCTTGCAAAGTAGCACCGTCGCTCCATTTCTGCCCACTGTGATGTTTTGGACCATGCTCCTGAAACGCGAATTCTCAACCTTCAAACAAACCCTCAAAAGTTTCTTCGAATTATGTGAAATGGAGCAGTAAAGAGTATTGAGTTCGAAAAGCTTTGAAGTCGAAACCTTTCTGTCAGAATTTGCAGATAGTGCTCTAGTCCATCTTCTTAAATTGTTGCACTTCCCCTGCACATCCAAAATATTTGAATGTTTGTACGTGTAAGCTCAGTACCATTGATCTTGATAGAGCCTGGCTCACTCGATCGGTGGTCAAGTACTCTGTCTTTTTGACGTTCAACCTGAGCCCGAACATAGCCAGACGGTCGGACCAGGTTTGCACCTGTTGCTCGAGCGTGCTTTTATCTTCGCTGGCGAGCATTACGTCGTCATTATGAAGAAGCGTTCGTGGAATCGGCTCCTGAAGATCCCTTGGAATCTAAGATCTCTTGATCTCTTGAGATGGCATCCATGACGACAAGAAATAGAAGTGGGGATTTGGCAGAGCCTTGGTGTACCCGACAGAGATGGGAAAATCCATCGATGTGCCTGCTGCCGTTTGCACTCGGCTCTTTGGACTCGAGTACAGGATGCGCACCCACTCAATAAGCTCTTCGGGAACGCCATGCTGTCGTAAGGCATACCATATAACGTCACGCGGATCGAAAGCCTTTCTCCAAGTCTAGGAAGGCAAGATGCACCGGTCTTTGTTTTTCGCGATGCTTTTCTAGCAGAAGGCGAGCGGCGTGTATGGCATCGATGGTGCTGCAACCAGCCACCACACTGGTTGGTGGTCAGCTCGACGATGTCACGGATACGACTGTCTACAATTCGCTCAAAGATTTTCATGCTGTGCGAGAGCAGGCGAATTGGACGGTAGCTAGTGCAGTCTCCAGGACTGCCCTTCTTCTTCCAGATAGGAATCGTCGTGCTCTGTTGCTAGCTCTTACAAGGGAGGTCTTTCAGGGCAAGGTGCGCTTTTTCAAAACGGTTTTGTGCATATTGTAGGGACGCATGTAGGGAACGCAAAACCATGTTTCATTTTCGCTGAACGGTTATAGCAGTACCAAAAAAGAAGCATAAGGTACTGTTAAGGGTTCGATCCCCGTGGCGACTAAATTTTGCATTTGGGTTGGCGCCTACGGTTTGGTGCCAAATCGCGCTAAATATCAAAATCAGATGTCAAATTCATCGTCAGGACCATTTTGAAGCCAACAAGTGGCCGCCAACCTTGATTGCAAAATTTAGTCGCCGCGGGGGATTGAACCATCAAGAGTATTATTCACCACTTTTTTGGTACTACTAAAACCGTTCAGCGAAAACGAAACATGGTTTTGTGGTCCATACATGCGTCCCTACAACATGCACTAAACCGTTTCCAAAAAGCGCACCTTGCCCTGAAAGACCTCCCTTGTTAGGCACCTTTTTATTTGCAATGACCTGGCTGAAGAATAAGTGAACTGTTCTGCAGGATTCCAGCACTCACTTTGACCTTCCACAAGTCGGCCGCTAGGTCGTCGGGACCACGCTTTGCCTGATTTCATCTTCTTCAAAGCCGTATGGTCTCCTCCACGGTTATCTTCTGAACGGGACCGTGTACTGGCGGAGCACAGGGATGGCAGGGATGAGCAAATTCGACTGTTGAGATGCTTTCGAAGTAGTCGTGCCATCGCTTCAATGTTTTCTTGCGATCCGTCAAAAGTGGCCATTTTCGTCATTTATGCCGAAAGAACTTTTTTTATATCCTTGGCCTGGCGATGGCGATGATGACTATCCGTGTCTTTGCGAGTCGGTAAACGTACCGCTCTCCATCGCGCGACTCGAGTTTTTCGTTGACATCAGCAAAATGAGCTGCTTTCGCGGAAGCGAACGGCCTTCTTTGCCTCTTTCTTCGCTATCTGATAGCTCCGCCAGTTCTCAGCTGTCTTTTCCGAAAAATGCGTGGTAGCGCTTCTTCTTCTCGCGCACTTTCTCTCTGACCTGGTCCGTCCACAGCCATGTTTGCTTGTCAATTTTCCGCCGTCCAGGCTTCGTCATGCCGAGCTCGGATCGCGCAACCTGAACTATCGCTTCGGCAGCACCTTTCCAAGTTTCGTCGACAGTCGTAACCGCCGGTAATCTACGGTCGCTTCTTTTTCTTCAGTCGCCACCACTTGATTCTCGCTGGCCCACACCTTTCACCAGTTTCTGTTTCGGCGGGGCGATCTTCAGCGTAATCAGTGGTCGGTGTTGTGTGACGACCGTTTCATAAGGTACTGTTTTCGCGTCTGTTACGAGCCCTTGATCGCGGTGCCTGACAAGGACGAAATCAATTTGTGTTCTGGTTTTACCGCTATAGAAGGTGATAAGATGTGAGTCACGTTTTCGAAATTTCGTGTTTACAATGGCGAGGTTATGCGAGTCTGCATATTCAAGAATTCGCTCGCCATCAGTATTACGTGACCCATATCCAAAACCACCATGACAGCTATAACCGTCTTTCGTAGCGCCCACGTGCCATTGAGGTCACCTGCGAACAATTATGGCTTCTTGTGACGGTACCTCAGCTGTCTTCTCATCAAGCAGGTTCCAGAACTTGTCCTTGGCTTGCTCGGAGCATCCAGTCTGCGGAGCGTACGCAGAGAAGAAGTGGTATTTTTGTCGTTCGATGACGACAATGATCTTCATTAAGCGGTCGTCGAAGCGCTCCACGCTCACTATCGAATCACGGAAGCGTTCAGAGACAATCATCCCGACGCCATTGGTGGTTTTGGGACCGCCACAGAGAACGGCTTTGAAGCCGCGGCCAATGTCCCTCGACTTGCAGCAGGACCACCTCGTTTCCTGCACGGCACAGAAATCAATTCGTCGGCGCTCTAGAGCTTCTGCTAACTCGTGCGAGCCCGTTAACGTGCCAACATTTAACGTCGCAACGCGAGTCTTCCATACGTTGCGGGACTTTTGGACTAGCCTAGTTGCCCCCCGATGCCGTCCTTGCACCGGAGACCCTCGCATACTTTTCACACTCGCCGGGCTTTGCGAGTGCGCGTCGGCTCCCGCGGACGCCGTAGCATTACATTTGTGATGTGACGTGGGTGTTCGTAGGCCAGGCCTGTCACGGGGCCTGTCACCTGCATTCGAATGTCCGCGATCAGTTCAGCCCACAAAATTAAGTAGTTCCCACTGGCACCCCTTGGTGGCAGGATTCCGCCACATGATAATAAACAGCCCAAGTAATCTCTCTCATCTTAAGGCATCATGATCACCAGCACTATAGTAATCTTTCGTTAACAATATCGGTTACATTAAAAGCACGAATACTGCCTAATACAAAAGTCCGACTATACTCATTCTTACTGAGGTCCACTATGACATGCGCGCGATAGCGAGCATGTCAAAGTGGGTGACATAAAAGTGTTATAAAATCCATAACGCGCGGCACAGCAGCGAGGTGTTATTTCTTTGATATGATATAGAGGTGGGACGGGAACATATTTGGGGGTGACAAAACATAATAATTGATAGACTGCTAATAACGAACGCGAGAACGCAAGCGTCTCAAATGTCATGGCGCGCTGACCAGCGGTCGTTAGGAGAAGCGATTCCCTTCAAAATGGAGAGGTAAGTAAAGTTGTCCTCTAGATACGGATAAGAGAAATGTTCTGTCCTGTCTGCTATGGAATATTTTTCTTATCGCGTATTGTAAACATAACATAATTTGACCGCTAATGTGCCCGGGCATCGCAAGATGGTCGGTGTTATAGTGGTGGTGTACTATGAGTATTGGTGTTTCTATTTTAATTTTCGGGCGGAAGTGGTGTAGTGGCAAGTGGCACGCTTACCACGCGAGCGGTCCGGGGATCAAATCCTGGGTCGTGAGTCGCCCGGGCCAACCAAGCCTTCCATCCCTCCGGGGTCGGTTAATTGGTACCAGACTTGTCTGGGAGGATAAAAACACTGACTTGTACATCGGCTGGCCCCCGCAAGTCATTGTATAGGCCACATCGCATTCAAACGCCACTACGAATGTACAAATGGAAGTAGAATGCGTGCCGCATCCCAAAAAGGGATTGATCAACGGCAAATGCTTTATCCTTTTATCCTTTATTGTAGGGGTAGGAAGATACGAATATACAAACATGCACTGAAAATGAAGAAACTACATCGTTCAAAACAAATAAATTCAAAGGAAACTTTGGATCACCTAGCTTCGGGGAAGGATAGTATACGGCCCAAAGACGAGCTGTGGGAAATGACTGTTTTATCTCTAGTGCTAACCTTTTGTTGAAAAACATCTGTTGCATTGAAACCATGTATGCTGTTTGATTCACGGCGAAAAAAAAATGTGCAGAGTAGTTTTTAGGAGCAGTTTTTGCTTAAATTTTCTGAAAATTTACGGCGATTACGGTTTTTCAATATTGCGAGAAGAGAGGAAAATGTAATTGCCTCTATGGCTTTCGGCCGATGAGAAAATTTCCAAGTTGCAGTATTAGCCATTTCCCTTTACAAGCGTAATCATGGGTTTTATTTCAGATTGACGCTTAAAGTAACAAAACCTTTATATATTCAGGAAACCAAGAACATCAGGCTGGATTCTGTGGTCACGTGAGATTAGATTCCTTCTTTCAGGGAATATCTGATCTCCTAACTTCATCGTCTTTAAACTTTTTTTCAGTGCCGTGGAATGGTCAGGTAAAAAGACGACGGCAGAAGAGGCCAGCAAGTCAAGTGAAGCTAGTAGAAGTCCTACCGAGGGTACGACAAAAAGCAAAGAGGGCTCTAGGAAGGACGAGTCTAGAGGCAGCACTGAGGGGAAAAACCTCAGCGGAAGCGCCGAGAAGAAGGATTCTGAAGACGATGAAAAATCGGATGAACAAAGGTCGCGTTCTGAAGAGGAAGCCATGTTCAACAAATTGGAACCATTCAATGCTGAACCATTAAAGCCAGTCACGCAAAGTGCCGGTCAGAAAAAAGCGGCTTCTGAAGATGAGCTCAAAAGACCTAAAGAAAAAGTCAGAGAATCTAAGGGAAGAACCGAGGAAAGGCGAAGAGAGGAGGGGGAGTGCCGCAGTGAAGGGATTTCAAGAGAAGTCCGACGAAAAGGCTTTCTAGGAAGAAGCAGTGTATAAGAAAAATAAACCCGTAAAGATTCTTCAGAGTATTTTATCGAAGACCGAACTCTTGGTACATGAGAAATGTGGGTTTTGTTGCAGGGTATTTCAATTGTTCCAGCTATGTTTGCTTTCTCACTAGAACAACAGGTGCTTTCCTGCTTGCTTCTCGTCATATATCGAAACATCACCATTCTTAGCTCCTAGAATCGAGGTGTCTCACAGGCTACTTTCTAACTTCCTTAAGCTTAGCGAGAGCACTAAAAAGTACACGCAAAGTTGCGTTTATTTTCAATGTACGTGATTCGATAACTGTCTATGACGTCCTGCTATCAAGCTCCACATTACCACTCTTACCAACTCTTTTAGAGCGTTCATAGTTGGCGATCGTGCGATTAGGCGATCATGTGATTAAACGATTTGTTTACAATGGAAAATGCAGGGGGGGGGGGCAAAAAGTCACTTCGCCATGGCGCACATCATCAAATTTTTCTTCGCACAGGATGCCGTTGTTGATGAATGTTCCACGGCGAAATATTCCTAGGTGTCCCCCACAAACAGAAGCAGGCCCTCCTTTACTGATCCCACCGTCATCTGCCGTCACCGTCGAGCTCAACGAGGCTTACCGTAATCGCTCCGGCCTGAAGCTGCTACATAATTTCTTCAATGGATTAACTGGTGAATAGCTTCCCAGAGACACTAGCTGTGACTGTGCAAAACCGCTTTTGACCAGCGTTTCAGGGACGTCGTAATGGTCTATGGTACCTCGACGACCTCGTTGAGCTCGTACCGTGAACCATGTTTCCGTGGGAAAATCTTCTGATGTCGTCGGTGTAGAAGGCTGTTGTGTAGCTTTTGATAGATTAGAACGTGCTCTTTAATATTCAGTTGGGGTCATTTGGTTTGGTTTCGCAACGCGTAAATAATAATTTCCGTTTTGAATGTGGAGGGAAGTGACTTTTTCTGTCTCCCCCGCAAATTAGGCGATTAGGCGAGGGGAGTACCTGTCGTTCTGGTGAGAAAACAAACATAGCTGAAACAATTGAAATACCCAGCAACAAAATCCACATTTCTCATAAACCAGCTTTAAAACGATGTTGGTCAGACTACGCTTTTGCTAATTTATTCATTGGCCAATCACTGCAGAGAGCAACACGGAGTAATTGTTGAGTATTTCACAGCCAATTTACTTATTAATCATCAGAGAGAAAAAACTGTTTGGCACGGACACCATATGGCTCCAACAGTTATTGCCAGTTAGTGTTGAGAGAGCAGTCCGTTCTGCCATAGATTCATATATTAGGTTGTCGGAAAAGTCTTTGCGCATTTGGCAACTTTTTTCAAAATTGTTTTTCTTCTTTAGTGCAGCCAACAATTGTTAAATACATACACCACCATAATCGTCGAAACATTGCTCTTCAGCAGGCAACTTCAGGTTGCCGGCCGTTCAGAAATCCCGAGTCTTTGGGGCGAAAAGCTCAAAGAGGTTGACTCCGAGTAGGTCCGGATCATCGACTGCCCCTATTTCAGTACCTTCGACGGCAACAGAGGCGTATGGTAGCTGTCTCTACCAGGTTTGCTGAACACACTAAGTGGGTCAGATCATCCCATAACGAGCTTGGAGACTTTTCCTGAACCTTCTTCGTAATTCGTGGGCGAGCGTTGCCGACATAAAGTAAAGTTTCTCAGATTTTCCGGGCACCATGCCGGGAAACCAATCCACTTGCCAACATTATTGTTCACCAATAGCAGTGGACTTCGTTGGCAGCAGCTCTCCGTGAGCGAAACATTTGCAGCCTCATGAGCTTTCAATGTTGCCTCCCAGGTTGCTGTTCTCGAATCGGCATTGCAATCTGCATCCGAGCCAGTCGTGCTTTCGCGTGCGGTTTTCTGAGGATCCCGCTTCTTGTACCACCAACAAAGTTGGCGGATCAAGCGAGAGACAGGCGGCAAATCAAAATGTCCATGCAAAATTTTATGGTCTCAATAGCCTGTGGTCAGTCAGATCACAAAATATCCTTTCGCCATAATTTCACTTCTTTTCGAGGCGATATTGAGGAGCGGCCATTGTGCTGTGATAGCACTGAAAAAGCTCCGCCAGTTATCGTGCGTTGCACCAAGGACTCCCTCCAATCGACTTCAGAATACACTCGTCACTGAGGGTGGCAGGCCGACCAGATTTGAGGTTTTTTCTCAAGTATCTGGAACTCGGCAACCAAATAATTGGCATGTTGTGAAAGATAGTCTGGAGGTCCATCACAACACGTAGGCCTCCTACTGCTCGCTTCAATCGACGCATTTTGTGGGCTTATAAAGGCAGGAGCAGTCGAACATACCTTCAGTGAAAGACGATTTTTAAGCTTCAAACGCTGCGAAATGCTACGACAGAAATGCTGTGGAGAGAGCATTAACCACCGCTCACATGCATTTAACAGAGAATGTTTCAAAACGATCCCAAAAGATTTTGCAAGGTGAACAAGAAAGTGCGCAAGAACTTTAATTCTTCCTGAAGATTCTTGTAAAACCTTCAGGGATAGTTTTTGAGTATTTATTTTAAAAAGTATGTAAGCCCCAGTCAATGACCTTCACAGCATTCTGTCGTGGTTTCTCACAGCGATTATGGCTGAGAAAATCGTCTTTGACTGAAAGCATGTTTGGCTGCTCCTGTTTCTAAAACCCAGAAAACGCGTCAATGGATGCGGCAAGAGCTCACGTCTTGCGATGGAACCCCAGAGTGTCTTTCACGACATGGTAAACATTTGGTTGCCGAAGTCCAGAAACTCGAGAAAAATGCACAAATTCGGTTGGCCTGTTCCACTGAATGACGAGTGTCTTCTGGAGCTGTTTGGAAACAGTCTCTGGAGCAATGCACGGGAACTGACGCAGCTTTTCCACAGTTATCAGAGCACAATAGCCATTCCTCAATAGCTCCTCAAAAAGAAGAGAAATTATGG